TAATTTTTTAAAATCTTAACATGATCCAGCTTAATTTTCGTTCAGAATTATAACAAGTGGATAGAAATAAATACGACCATGTGAATGACATCAGATTATTTTCATTATTTCTGTAAATTTATTTGTACATAAATTTGGTCAGTAATCCATCATAACAATGGGACATGGTTATTTGGTTTATTGTTTTACTTGTTAATTACATCTCAGAATAAAAAATCAACTTAGTTAAATTTCTTGTTGTAATTAACTACCATTAATTGTTGAGCATCTGTCGATACATCAGTTGAATTGAAAATATATTTAACAGTTGTTTTACTTAAAAGACTTTTAATACCTTTAACCTTTAATTCTTTGTCTCACAAGAAAGTCTACTTCTTTGACAAATTATCTATATTATTTTCCATGGTGGTCTATTTTCAACAGACTCATGATCTCAACTGTTGAAATTACTACAATCTCCACAAAACCCCTTCTGATACTAATCGACATATGCTCACTAGTGACTGGCTTCAAGAGGTATATCTTGGAGTCCTAGTGAGAAGCAGTGACCATTGGAGTTCAACCGGGTCAGTTGTGAGATAATAACTCACTGATGACAATGGTGGATGTGTCGCTCAATTTCGTGGATTAGTTGAAGTTAGACATTAACGCCGTCGGATGCCGACTCAGTGGTCTAGTTGGTTAAGCGCTTGGCGCGAGACTGCGAGGTGCTGGGTTCGAATCCTGCAAGGCGGGGTCGTGGATGCGCACTAATGAGGAGTCCCATACTGGGACGAAACAGTCCTCCAGTGCTTCCAGGTTTCCAATGGTGGTTTAGCTTCAACTGACTCATGATCTCAACTGTTGAAATTACTGTAATTTCCATATAGCCCCTTCTGATTATATGAATTAGCTTAAACCTCAAAATTTGTTACTTTCATGGAAACAGTTTTAGGTGGAAGACATCCCAAATATAGATCTTGTGTAAATAACTCAAGGATACTAAAATTACTAGAATAATTAAGATGATAAAACTGATGTTGGTTTACTTACAATAAAAGATAGAAAGAGAGTACTAATTATCTTCAACCATTGTCACAAGTGTTCTATTCAAAATGAGTAAAATTAGCAAATTTCTAAGAAGTAACTGATTGTATTTAGAATTTCCATACCATTTATTTATTGTAATGGTGATGAAAGAATATATTGTTCATAATTATGGTGAAAGATATGTAAAAGGTAGGATGGAATGTATTAGTTGTATTTATATACAAAGTAAATTCATGAGGAATTTAGGAAAACAAATTGTTTGATTTAATAGTCAGTTCTAACCAAGTTATTATCCAGCTTTCCTATCCTCCAACTTAGATTTAGCTCAACTTTGATTCGATCTGTCTTAATTTGTTTGATGGCTACAAATCGATGAATTATTGTGATTTCATTATGTAAGTGATGTTGTTCTATCTAGTATCTATAATGCAATCTGATTCATTGCTCGTTTTAACTATCAGTCTATCCAGGTTTCACTTATTCAAGTACTTATCCCATATTGTTTTGTATTTTAATAGATAATTTATTACTTAACGAAAGTAACTCATGGTGTCATTGAAAAAAATTTAAGACAATTTAGCTAAGAGAATCTTCTTTTCGATAATATCATTCACCGAAGCTGTACACACATATTAGCCTCACAAAAACGAGAATTTTCTAAACACATCTCCGAACACTATCCTGAGTGACTCTTGAAAGATCTATGTGAAACAATCAACAGTTCAATATGAGAACATCTTGTAGACTTTAGTCACATGGCTCCACCTGATAGTTACTTCAAAATCATCTATACAGTCGAAAGATTCAGTTTACGGGAGCATTTATGAATAACATGTGCATTTATCTTTTCAAACTTAAGCTCTATGTACAGAAGCGATAAGTGCAAGATATCATTGTTCCATGATTCGAACACCTAATTTTTATGAATGGTAATTTGGTTGTTAATGCATTCTTCTAGTGTTTCTTAATCTTCTTATATCGAATTATTCGTTGTCTCTTTCACGTTTTGAACTTACCCTTCATCCTTTGCAACAATATGATTTTCAAATCACATTTGACTACGATAAATTTTTGTATAAATTGTTATGAAAAAAGTTAACAGTTAAATCTATCAAGTTTTTTGAATCATCGGTTTGTACTTTGACATTCGTTCTGTATGATATCTAAATAGTCTATTTAGTACGTTGTATTTTGTGTACATATGTTACACTATACATTCATATTTTGACTTTTTTCTTTTCAGGCGTTTATTGTTTGACCTAGTTTTCTTTTTTTTCTTATTCCTTCATACTGATAAACACATTGTTCTATTCTTTTAAAACATTTAAACTAGAAAAAAAAACGGTTGAATTTATGGGCGGAAAGTTTGTACAATTTGAATATTCTCAAAGAGGTTATCGATAAGCTTGACTTCTGTTGTCGTTACATTATTGATACTTTCATTGTCATCAATCAGAACATTGGAAAAGAAGAACTCGTAGAGTTATTTAACAATAAACATACAGCAATCGAATTTGCATGTGAAGAGGAACTTGATAATAAACTACATTTCCTTGACGTTTTGTTAAACAGAAAAGAAAGTGTAGGTATCATTACCAAGGTTTGACTTAATAATTTCGAATAAATTGAGCATTGGGTAGATTTTTATAAATAAATTGATATATTTGTAATATCCCAGTGAATAGAAAGATTAAATTTGCTGACGTTTGGATTCACTTAAATTTTGATTTGGTTATTTATTCTCTGAAGAAGTGGTTTACATTGAGTCAAGAAAAGAAAATGGTTCTATCAGTAGAAGTGTGTACAGTGAAAGTTCTTCACTAAGCCGGTACACCCATTTCTTGAACTTTGTACCCATTCGTTATTGAAGAAACCTAGTTGGATGTCTTGCAAAAAGAGCTAGGAAGATGTGCTCGGACGATATTATAAACAAGAAACTAGAGCTTGTACATAATATGTTGGCTGGAATGGGTTGTCCACAAGGTTGTTTGAAGAAGCACGTGAACGTAACAAAGAGTAAAATAGCGACATCAACAGCTCGTAGTAAACCCCTCTTTCTGAAGCTGCAATTCAGAGGAAATATAGCTGGTGATGTGCTACGGGATAGACTGACTAGAGTAGTTAAGAGAACGTTTAATGCAACTAACCTCTGTCTATCGTTCTTGACCCGATCTATGGTGATTCCTCAACTAAAGGATAAGGTACATGGCCCTGTCACATTTATGTGTATCTACGAATTTATCTGCTCCTGTGGAGAAAGCTATATTCGGAGCACAACCAGACAACTGAGCCAACAAGTTAGTGAACATCTCCCTTCGTGGTAAGGAAAGGATACCGTCAGAACAGTACGCAGCTCCATTCTATCACACTTGGTCGATAGCAGTCATGTAGACGACAGAAATAGATCATTTAAAGTTATTTATCAAATTTTCACTAGTTTTCCTTATGGGGTTCGAACGCGTCTCTTACAAATAACAGAAGCTATAAGAATGCAAGCTAACAATTCAAGTCATTGTATTCATGGAAAATTTGTAACACCTTTTTCTCTTCCTTGGCAGTAATAAATGATTTTATTTATTATTATTTTTCATACTCTGTTAACTCCGCCTGGAGTCCCTCCGGGGGTTACTACCGCTCCCAAGTCCGGATAAAGGAGAAGGGTTTGTCATGGGGTTAGCGATCCTATCCCGCAGAAAATTAATTAGCTAAAAAAACGCTAACCAGAAAAATACTCTTTGTTCGTTTATTTTTTCCGCTCCCTCCCACCTACTTTTCTCCAAAATATAAGCTTCGTTGTCCAATTATCCGAGCATTTCTTATTACATGATCTTATAGTTTTTATGAATGTTATCTCAGCATCGATATTTTTCAAATCATTGACCTAGTTCCCACTATGAAACACGGTACAAGCCTTTATTATTCTTATCACAACCAGTATACCTGTCATCACACTATCAATTTGTACTCTTTAAGTATTATGTTTATTCATGTAATCTGTTCCACTGTTATCACTGAATCCTAAACTACCTTGATTGATTTCGTATATGCATATAAATATCACCCTATATTAGAGTAAAACCTGATGAGGATATAATCAAAAACAATATTGTTCGCTTATATATTCTATTCTTTGATTGTTTGTAGATATTTTCTACACAAGACTGTTGACTATGGTTGGTCTATAAACTCATAGGTTGTGATAAACTTGATGATGATCATAAAAGAGTTCTTGTTCTGATATCTATTCAACATAGTAAGCAGGAGAACATCAATAGGATAATTTGCTTAGTAAATATTTTGTGTTTTCATGTAAACTTCACACATTCATTAGCTAAAAGACTCAATTAAAGAACTTAAAAGAATGGAAGTCACATCATAATTGAATTGAATTCAGTTTTCATCACGAACATACATTAGTTGTAGAGCTTTTAAAAAGCTAAGAACACTAGACAACTCTCTCATTCAAGTCTACATCTCAGAAATAAACATCCAAAACGCCACACGGAGTCAAATACATGATCTTTAGGTCAGCACTATATGATTAAAATAATGGTTTCAAACCGAAGAGTTTATGTTTTCTAACGTGAGCTCATAGAAGTATATTACTGAGAAACCCAGAATTCTCAGATATTCACTGGTTCTCTAACGAATGAAAATTACTTTCGAATAAAAGAATGTACTCAACCAGTTGATGTTACGAATTGATGAAATCGTGTTAGTGATACAATGACAATTTAGACTTTAGTGATTGAGTTGAAATTTAGTAGATATTAGCAACTTGATTGTTTATTTAGAAAGTAGTACATGACACAGATAACATTTAGGCCGATCATCCGAATCTGACTGCATTTCAGGCATTTCTTGGATTTTCGTAATCAACGACAAGAAAATATCTAATTTTATTAAAATAAATGATATCCTAGATAACTGAATACTACTTATTTACTGATACTATAAAAATGAAACGAAATCATGACAAATTGTTTTACTTTTACTAAAAATATTCAAAATGCATACTAAAAATACTAATCATGTTATTTCTATATGAAAGGTAAGCTAATCTGAAACTTAATTTATAAATTTCACACAAAAGTTGAATGATTGGGTTGAAACGATGGACAGTCATCAATATATCAGTGTTTGTGCAAAAATATAAGGGTCAATTTTCTAAAGGATTTTCTAAAGGATTCAACCATTTCAAAGGACAATACACAAATATATGCTGATTTTCCTGACTAGCGTGATATAACAACCATCTAATTCCATTTTCAATACAATTAAAATACTTCTGGGAAAACCAACACTGAACGGTAGATAACGCAGGTCACCGTCATTCAATTCTTTAAAATTATTAAGATTATTTATTCAACCAAATAGTGCGACTGCATTCGCATGTATGAGACAGAAAGGTTTTTGATTTCTAGTATGAAATGGTTTACCTTCAAGGGGTTTTTGACATGCAGCACAACTAAAACATCTTGCATGATATTGTTTTCCACAAGCTTGAATAAAACGGTCGATCTCTGAAATGGATTGTTTACACTTCGCACATTCGATCTCATGAAATTGTTTCCAATGTTCTTCACATAATACACGATTATCATCTTCTACATGAAATATATCATCTAATGGTTTTTGACAGTAATAACAAGTGAAACAATATGGATGCCATGTTCGATTTATTGCTTTGATAATTTGACCAATAATTGGTAAATTACACTTGGTGCATTTATAAGCAATATATTGTTTAAAATCTTCTTCACAGTATAATTTTCCATTCTGTTCAGCAAAACCATCTTCGTTTAGTGGTCGATGACAATAATCACATATGAAATGATTTGGACAAAAGCATCTGTCATTCGTATCGATAAATGGTCCGTGTATTTGTTGTTGACATACATGACATATAGGATTAATTTTAAAATCTTTTGAACGTATCACTCCTCTTAGTAAAGAATTATCTGGTTTTGCGTTAATTTTGATATTAGGCTGTGGTTGATTCATCGTGCTATATTTACACAGATTATAGGATGATGAATAACATGACTTTAAACTTATATTATTTTGTGGTGTGTAAATTGGTGATGTACGATTTGAATCTAGTTTTTCAGCCAATATCCGATTATGTAGTGTAGTTGAGTTTGGACTGTATGATCTTATTGTTATTCCATTAGGTGAATGAGAACGAGTTATTATTGGATTTGTACCAATATGAACAAGTTTAGATATAACTGTTTGCGGTTTTAGTGGTTCTGTTGGTTTATGAAGTTCAATACTTAGTGATGATTGTGTTATAGACATGTTCATTTGATGAAGTGGTGTAGAATAGCCAGAATTATTTAAACCAGTATCATAGACCTCCATTTCCAGATCATTGGAGCAACGTATAATTGCTTGAATAGCTTGTTGGTGAGTCATTTTGCTAGTAGGATCACCGCCAATAGATAAAACACGCATTCCAGTACGTAAGCCACTGATATCTGCCAGACTTCCAAGACTCACAGAAGATATAATAAGTGGTTGATCAAAATCTCTTCCCCCTCGAATACAGAATCCCCAAGGTGAAGCAGAATCAGGTCTTGAAATGCGTATAAAAAATGACATTATATTAACAAAATCTAAAAATAGTTAAAGCTGACAATAATTAATATTGTGAAAAAATTCCCGGTTTTTCTTCTTTTTATATTGCCTAACTCAGATGATGAAGTGTGGGTGTGTGTATGTTTCTATTATCCTTTTCCACAAGGTCATTTGTATGTGGACCAAATTTCTGGCTACCAATCACCTTAAATGGTGACAGTTTCAGTTTCTGTGATTGGTTTAGATATAGTTATCGGCACATACTTTGAAGTGAATTTCACTTAATAATACTACGCTATACTTGTTCCTAAATTCAGTTACTTTCTCCAAATTTCATCATTTGATGAGTATGAAATAAACAATCATGAAAAAGTGAAACTTAACACATTTGATCACAACTGTTGGAAAACACGAAAAGCGGTGGTAGGTATGAACACTAGTTGCGAGCAGTTACAAAGTATTTATATAATACATATACATGGCCTTTAATCGTCCATTTGAATCTTCCAGTGTGTTTCGCAATCTGAACCGTCTTCTCGATTGGCCTCCAGGTGTTCTACCAATGTTGTGCTTTTGATACACTGAAACTGTTGCAATTTCATATCCGCGTTCCGCTACATAATACTTATAAATATCCACTGCATTGTTTGAAATTTACAATTATTTAAAATCAATAAAACATGGTTATATAGGTAAAACTACCAACAAACCTAATTATAGTTTCATTCAGTGATCTACAAAGAAAATCATATTGGAATAGCTTGAAAATTTATTCAAATATGACAAATCATACTATGGAGGTCTGGAAAAGTGGTAAGCATTAAACTATCTCTTTGAATAATAGTAGTGTTAAAATTATTCTTTCCAATTTATATATAGAATCTAGAACAGAGTTGACTCAAAAGGTGAAGTCATCAACACTAAGATAATTTAAATCTCATTTTAAAATCTCGCATACTTTCAAATATTAAAAACGTTAAACAGCTTCATCTGGTTTCTTTAGAGATATTCCTTGCTGTATTTTCAGGTATTCTCGAAAGGACTCAAAGTTCTGTATAGCACGCATACCAAACTTACAGTATCACAACTTTTTGAGATTAATTCTAGACTGTGAAGTTATATGACGCGATAAGTTGATGATATGTAAGTCAAAACGTTTTGTATCAGTTCAATATAAACATTTTCTAGACTTAAAAGTGTGAACTTTTGATATGACGGGATGAAAAAGTAAATTACATTTCTAACTCATTATTATTCTGGCTCAACATTACTTCCAAATTTAATTCACTATGGTGATTATTCAGTGTAACACTTGTTTTATTTTCAGTGTGATATTTTATTTAATGTAACTTTGATTTGTTTCAGTGTGGTGTTTGTTTAAGATATGATATTCTTTGTATTAAATTGATATGAATTATGTTCAGCATGATATGCAGCATGCGGTTTGTCATAATTCTGGGCTTTATTATGGTATGTAACTTTTCCCTAATTAATAATCAAGTGCATGTACAAATCTATATATAGATGAGTGTATTTTATACTGAGGTCATCGTAGTGTTTTTTGGGTGGATAGGTGTGGTGTTTGAATGAACTAGTGATTCCTTTGTACTTGTTGAATGCTTGATTTTGAGTTCCGAATATAGTACATTCGTTCGTGCTTATCTAGTACTTCTTGATCCAATTACGTTATTTCTGGGATTCTTAGTTCGTACTATAATTCAAATACTTCTAATCATCATAACAGGTCTTCGTTAGTACTAGTCTTCCGTGTTCTTACTTTGGGTCGTGAGAATTGTAATTGTTGTTTGTTTCAAGAATAAGTAATAAGCGACACGGATGTAACTTTCACTTATTGACAATTACAATCCTGTTATCAATTCGGGCGAACTGTATTCAGTATGCGTTTTTACAGCAACACTACATATGTGTTATTATAAAGTATGTGTAAAAATCAGTGTGTGAATGATTGTATTTTGGTCTCATGATAGTGTGACTTTAAGAGTTTTGTTTTCGGTAAGGCGATGAATCTTGACTGCACAAGTCTTTCATGTTCTGACTTTGAATTGTGGGAATTCCAGCGATTCCCGTTTCAAAGTATAAGCAGTAAGAATGCCAATATAACAGTGCGGCACATGATACATAAGAGAAGGCTCCTCGACTTCATAATGGGGGCCGCACAGTTTGACAGTGGTGATGATTCCAGATAAGACAGGGTCGACTAATACACTTCAGGAAAACTGAGAGCTCCTCATGGTCCGCTTAATTTCTACAGCCCGGAGGTGAAGGTGTGGCAGAAATTACATGCACTGTCATGTGGGGCTTCCGAAACGCTTCTGTCAAAATGAACAACAACTTGCTTATTAGTAATATTGAATGCCCTTCGGTATATTTTATCATGTCCCGCTACTATAAAATGATTCAAGTGCTTTTAAGTTAAAGAGATCTACTGGTGTTCCAAGCTTGAACTTGTTCAAATGAAGTGTTAGTTCTTGATACTGAGCTTTCCGATGCCTTTCAGTTATGATTTCAACATGTTAAGCTCGGCTTGCTTGTTTACTAACTATTTAATACCCAAGAAAGTCACAAAACAAAAGGTTATTGGGCGGTAGGTACATATTTCTTGCATTCATCAAGGACTTATGCTCTGAAATTACATTAATCAATATCGAATATCTTTATAATCAGCCGGTGTTAGTCAAATTATTTCTTTTCACTAACTCCTTGTTTTGCTTCCAGGTCTTCAGTAAAATCCTATGTGATAGCCTAACCTTTGAACTGCACTAGTTATAGTCAACTCGACAGTTATTTGTCGGTTTGTGTATCTTTTTAGATGAAGGCAGAAATGAGTCACTCCGCTAAGTTTAACTACAAACTATCAGACAAGCTATTAACAATGGATTTCTGAAGTTAGACCTTTTACTATCACAGACGCACAGAATTCAATGATACTCTTATATCATCTATATGTTAGGATAGCCGTTTTAAAATATTCTTTAACATATTGCATTACCTAGCATTTCGGATATTTTCACTTTGATTTATTGGGTAAATGTCGGGTATAAAGGCATGAAATCCATTCTTAATTTCGATAGACGTACATCTTTAAATACGATGCTGAAGTGCATCACATCCTATCATCTACAGCATGATTTTAGGAAAGAAGTCAATGTAAGGTCCATTAAAACATTAGTAACAGAAAGTAGCGTTTGGAACTAGACTGCATCATGTATTATGACGCTCGCAACCTCGTTTCTGTTAGGCAACGGAATAAAGCTCTGAACACTTATTAGTTACAACGGGACCCCATGAGTACTTTGCTAATGACGCTGAGATAATCCAATGAAAATAAAATATAAACCCATGTAATATCGGTCACAGTGGACCTGATGATTATAGTGGTTGAGGTATTTCTTTGAATCCCTGGTGTTATATCTCTTTTCTTTATGTATTGTAAAAAGGTTGTCGTGGTAAGACTTATTTACTATCATTACTGCGTCAATGAATAATTCTTAGGTTATCCAGGACATAGTAAGATTCTTGGGGTTCTGAACGTAACTCAGGTCAATAGTTAACATTTAGTTGTGGTCGTTGAAACAGAACAGATGACTAGACTTAATATAGTAGCTTTTCATTTGATAACAATAAGCAAACATTCTACTAGTACTGTTCAGTATCAGTGTAAGGAAACAGTGCTACAATAGACTGACTCGCTACAGTGAAAGAGAATTCTAGTACGTGTTTATTTGCAAGAAAAGCTTTTATTTATCGATTTTAGTTGTACTACATTTCTTTGTTTATCTTTGTGCGTAATATATATATTTTTGACCCTTTATTTACCTATATTACGTCAGTATTTTGTTTAGAGCTGTTGTGATATTTTGAAGTATTTGAACTATAATATAAACCAGGAATCTGTGGTGTTTGAACGAACTAATAATACCCTTGTACTTGTTGAGTGCTCGATTTCGAATTCCAAATACAATACATTCGTTTGTGCTTGTGTCTTACTTCTTAATTCAATTGCGTTATTTCCGGTACTCTTAGTTCGTGCTATAGTTCAAATAATTCAAAACATTATACTGGCGTCACGATGGAGCCTGTAATGGAAAAGTTAGATATTCATTCAACTTCGGAAGCTTTTGAAGATTACTTTGAATGGTTCGAAATCTGGGCTATGACCAAGGAAGATGATGAGGATGGTAATATTGTGGCACACTTCCTCACATTCATTGGAAAAGAAGCATACAGCTTATTAAGAACTCTGGCTATACCGGAAAAGCCCATTTCGCTTCCTTATACAGCTCTCAAGGAACTGCTGCTAGACTATGTTAATTATACAAATTTCGAATGTCGTAAAGGAGGAAGATTTCGTAAAATGATTCATGAGGATATAAAAAATTCCACTACATTACGTCATCCCAACCCAGTTCATACTCAAGATTATGCAGACTATTCATTGAGGAGTTGCAATGCATTTCACGAAGATGGGCACAAGTTTAGTCAATGTTTGTCCTGTGGCAAGTTCCACTCTTTTAATTCATGTAAATTTCGTAATTCTAAGTGCTTTAAATGTGGTGATATTAGACATATTCAGTCAGTCTTTAATACTAATGTTCATCTTATTACAACTAATATTAAGACTTGTAATTCTGATCCTACTGAGTCGAGTATTTATAATGATGATTTACCTTTATCAACGATTGCAATAGACAATGTAGAGTCATAAAGTAGTTCAGAGTTAAATGAAATCCAAAACTCTTGCGAAACAACAGTTTCTAACCAATCGGTTTATCAGAATTCTCCTGCTATCGTACCAGGTATGGCTTTTCCTAATGATTCACATATTTCTGATGAAATTTCTCACAAATCTGAAGAAAATATGTTGAGTGAACATAATTATGATCGAAAACCTGATGTAGTTTTGACGGATGCTGATTTTTCTAATGATCCGTTACTGTGCAATGACATTCTTAATAAATTTCATGAAAATGTGTCAGAAGAATCAAATTCTGATGTCAAATCATATATTACCTATCTTCATAATGCATTTGATCTTTGTGAAAAACTTGTTCAATGCAAAGCACAAGTACTAAATGACCTCGATTTTTATTACAATTCGGATGTTTTCACTTTAACTGCTGTTTACCCTTATCACAAAAACAGTTCTAATGTTTACTCTAAACAATGTGAGAAATATGTTTTAAATGAAGCCACATTATTCATACCTTGGGGATATAAAGATCCAACATTATTTCGTGGTGGAGGATAGTGTTGAAAAATCTATGGTTCGAATTCTAGATATTAATGATTTCATAAATAAAAATAATATATTTGTAATATCCCAATGAGTAGAAAATTGGATTTTCTGACGTTTCGTGGCTTAGTGTAAGTCACTTCTTCAGAGAATAAATAACCAAATTAAAATTAATCCAAGTTTAAATAGTACAACGGAACAATGCAAGAATAATATTTGATCAATCAAAAAACAGGTCTGAACAAGTTGATGTCATGTCATTTCTGTCAAGGTGATTCATAAGTGATAAGTATGTAAATTTGTGTGTGTATGTATATGTGCATTGTTTAAGAATGAAAACTTATGTGACCTTTATGGTAAGAAAGGATAGAGTTTAAATTTGTAATATGAAAGTGTGAAATTGTAAATACGATCAGACTGAATGGTTAGGATAGATGGTCCAAGTAGGGTGTATGGTAAGGCCTTCTTTTCTATTGAGAGAAGTAGGATTAAGCATTATGTGGAACGCCTCAGCTACCCTCCTTTCTTTGTAGTTGGAAAAGCCTTTTTGCAATATTTTGATATTTTTAATATCGATTTGGTGGTTGTTGAAAATGGCATGAACTGCTATTGCCGATTTAATTTGAAGTTGGTTCAATTCTACCGGATTGTTAGGAGGTTTCTTTGTGTACCTAATATGTTCTTTGGCTCTAGTCACGATTTCGCGGGATGACTCTCCAATATAATAGGCATCACAATCGATACAACCTAATTTGTAGACGCAGTTCTGTGTGGACATGAAAGGGATTTTTTCTTTCAGGCGAACTAAAGTATTACGTAGTGTGTTCGTTGTTTTGTAATACACTTTAATTCTGTGGTGTTTTAAGATTCTTTGAATTTCTTCTGTTGTGCCATGACGGTATGGTAGAACTACAGTACCAATCCATGGCATTTCATTCGAAACATTATTATAATGTAATAAATTGTTTTGTTTTAATATGCTTCTAATAATCTTCATAGGAAAATTATTAAATTGTAAGGTACTAATTATATTCATTTGTTCTTTTCGTTTGTCTTCCTCTGATGTGATGATCTTGTTAGCTCTTCTAAAAAGATTTAAGGCTAGCGAGATCTTAGCACTGAAAGGATGTGCTGAATGGAAGTCAATATAACGATTTGAATGCGTCGGCTTTCGGTAAATGGATAAGTTTAGACTTCCATTTGGATTTCTTTTTACTAAGCAATCCAAGAATGGTAGCTCACCATGAGCATTTTCATTTTCATTGGTGAATTTGATTTGCGATGAGAGTGTATTAATTCGTTTTGAAAAAGATCTTAGATGAGTCTTTTTTATAACCACAAATGTATCGTCTACATATCTAAGCCAAATTCGTGGTATAATGTTGTGGGCGAAGATATTTGATTCTATGTATGCCATAAAAAGGTTGGCTACAATCGGGGACACGGGGGATCCCATTGCTACTCCGTTAGTTTGTTTGAATAAAATACCGTTAAAAGTAAATAGCGTTGAATTTAAGCAAAGTTTTAATGATTTCATGATTAGACTGGAGTCATCCCGCGAAATCGTGACTAGAGCCAAAGAACATATTAGGTACACAAAGAAACCTCCTAACAATCCGGTAGAATTGAACCAACTTCAAATTAAATCGGCAATAGCAGTTCATGCCATTTTCAACAACCACCAAATCGATATTAAAAATATCAAAATATTGCAAAAAGGCTTTTCCAACTACAAAGAAAGGAGGGTAGCTGAGGCGTTCCACATAATGCTTAATCCTACTTCTCTCAATAGAAAAGAAGGCCTTACCATACACCCTACTTGGACCATCTATCCTAACCATTCAGTCTGATCGTATTTACAATTTCACACTTTCATATTACAAATTTAAACTCTATCCTTTCTTACCATAAAGGTCACATAAGTTTTCATTCTTAAACAATGCACATATACATACACACACAAATTTACATACTTATCACTTATGAATCACCTTGACAGAAATGACATGACATCAACTTGTTCAGACCTGTTTTTTGATTGATCAAATATTATTCTTGCATTGTTCCGTTGTACTATTTAAACTTGGATTAATTTTAATTTGGTTATTTATTCTCTGAAGAAGTGACTTACACTAAGCCACGAAACGTCAGAAAATCCAATTTTCTACTCATTGGGATATTACAAATATATTATTTTTATTTATAACAATCAACCCAATGCTCAATTTATTCGAAATTATCAAATCAAACCTTGGTAATGACACCTATTAATGATTTCAGTACAAAATCGACATGCTGATTGTATACAATTCCAGATACTACAAAGTTTTTATCCAATACAATGTTGGACAGACTCAGGATGAACTTAACAAAAAGACGTACAACCAATTACAAACACTTATACTTCTATTTAAGCTGTGGCGGATGTGGTGTTTGAACGAACTAATAATACTCTTGTACTTGTTGAATGCTCGATTTCGAATTCCAAATACGATACATTCGTTTGTGCTTGTGTCTTACTTCTTAATTCAATTGCGTTAATTCTGGGATTCCTAGTTCATAATACAATTCAAATAACTCGAAACATTATAGAATCCCAGAAATAACACAGTTTAACCAAGAAGAATTATACGAGAACGAACGAACGTTTTGTATTTAGAATTCGAATTCAAGCAGTCATCAAGTACAAAGAAAACATTAGTTCGTACAAACACCACACCCACCACAGCTTAAATGAGAGTCCAGATTTCTGCGATCAATCATACCACTTCTTCTTAGGTTCATCATGAATCTGTCCGATTGTGTATTGAATGTAGACTCCGAACGATCTGGTTCATGAAATCAGTTCTGTAATTGCTCCGGGATGACTTGCTATTCCCTTTGATTTATCATGCTACTGACTAGGGATTCTACTCGACACACATTGGTTGTGAGAATATCCAACATCTGATACAATAACATCAGCAATGTTACCAGAATCCGACTCATTTGGAACGTATTTGTCACATCCATTACGGATATCACTAGAAATAAATTCATTGCGAGAAAAATTACATTTGATATGACATCAGGATTTTATTCTTCTGAAATATTTTCCTCGAATTTACTAAGAATGTCATTGGATCAGAAAATTCAACATCTCGCAAATTTGCATCAGATTTTCAACCTCGATTTGATTCACTCAGCATATTTTCCTCCGATTCATAAAGAATTTCTTCAAAAATACCTGAATCATTAGGAGAAACCATATCTGATACAATAATATGAGAAATCAGATAAGAGATTTGTTGACTAGAAGCTTTTGTCTCACAATGATTTTGAGTTTAATTTAAATTTGGACTGTTATATGACTATACTGTTTGGCGAAGTCGTGGATAAAGATAAATAATCATTCGATACACTCAACTTAATAGGGTTGGAATTACAGATTTTGGTATTAGTTGCAGCGAAATGAGCAGTAGTATTACAAATTGCCTGTATGTGTCTAATTTTATCACATTCAAAGCGTTTAGTATTACCCAGTACACGTGAATTACGTGGGTGAAACTTTCCTCAAGACAAGTATTTATCAAGCTTGTGCCCATTTCCATGACCTGTTTCGCAACTCCTCAATGAATTGTTGTCTGCATGACCTTGAGTACGCATTGAATTGAGAGGATGTAGTAGTGAAGTGGAATTCCTGGTGTCCTGACGAAACATTTTATGACATTTTCCCCCTTTACCGCACTCGAAATTTGTATACTTTACATGATCTTGAAGTAGTTCATTGACAGTTGCGTAAGGAAGTGGAATAGGCGTCTCTCGAAATGCCAAAGTTTTTAATAAGCTGAATGCTTATGTATGAGCAAATAGCTTGTAGTAACCTACTTTT